ACACATAATATCCCATAAATAAATATTTCAAGTTACCGCCTCTGAAGGTGTGCTTTCTTCTCGCTAGGTTTGGTGACCTTCCTGCTGTTGGACGAGAATGTTTTATTGAAGTTGCGCCAAAGTGTTGCAACAAAGCCCTTCTGAGAAGAATGACGTTTTGCCTTGGAGCCAATGATGGCGTTCTTGACAGCCTTCATCGTATCCAATGGACTTGGTCCAACCGTCATTGACTTAGGCAAAGTTGGGATGTCCAGGCGGGCGCGTATAGCGGGGAGACGGAGGACCCAAGTCTGTATCGCAGTGAGTAGAGCGGTGACGGTAATACCAAGTGTAAGACCCTGAAGAAGAGATGTGTTAAAGGGCATGGAAAGTGATAATCAGAACCTACCGATGGCCAGTACATAGAATACCAGCCTCCCAAGAGAGATAAGAGGGGCATTGCGTTCATGAAGTGAGCAGCAAATGGTCGATCGCGTACGTTCTGGTCGCCTCTACTTGCCTAGAATGACGCTATCAGCTACGCTCATAATGAAAGTGCAAGTAACCTACCCATATTTGTGCATTCACTGCAGCAGTGAACAGTATACTCAATGCTAACGGTGTCGTCTGCGTAAGATCTGGCAAGAAGCTAACTCCACTATTCGTCCATTGTGCCAACGGCAGATCACCCATCTTCTTCAACCCAAAGAACAGACCAAGCGTAATAGGCAGTTGCACCAATGGCAACAGCCCAGCCAACGGATTAATTCCCGCTTTGTCGTTCAACGCCTTAATTTTAATATTGATGCGCTGCATCTCCAATTTACTGAAATCCTTCTTCGAACGCAGCGCCTTCATCTCGTCCTGCAGCGGCTGGAGCTCCTTTTGGATGAAATTCATACGTGTCGTTGTTTTCAACGCGATGATGTTAATTGGGAGAATGATGAGCTTCCAGAAGGCCGTTCCAAGGACGATGGTGTGGAACCATGGGAGGTGAGTAGTGACGTTGATGATTTCAAGAGACCAGCGGATGATTCCTGCTGGTGTCCATGACGTAAGCCCAAGAGCACCTAGGTCGCCATAGTGTAGTTGGGGGATAGAGGAGGCAGGGGTGGCGAGGGAGGTAACAATGTCAGAAACGGGTGTTGCGTCGGCTATTTCTGCTGGTATTGGTGGGGCTGCTGGGGTAGATGCTGAGGCTTTGACTGGGGGTGTTGACGCGTCGACCGGGGGTGTTGGAGGTATTGTTGGCGCTTCGGGTGTAGATTTACTTGAAATAGTACGCGTCAAAAGCAGTGGTCTAAGTGTGCTATTCCTCGGCTGTGACGCCGATGCCTGCCGACCATAAGTTCTCCATAAATCGCGCAGGACGAAGTCAAAGACGGTTTGTACACACCACTGGAGCGAGTAATGAAGAAAAAGAGCGTAAATTATAACAGCATATAGGTGCCCTATATTCCATTCATCCAGATATAAGTCCATATGCTAACACGAATCAGAACCGTCACGCACCTCCGTCCTATTATCCTCCTAGATCCTGTTCTCAGCCTCATGGAAAGTGTGCTAGCAAAAGCCATTTTGAACCCCGATCAGCACCGTGGGTGTAGTGGGTTCAGGAGAGAGGAATGCCTTCGCCGCTGGGTCGACGGTGAACGCGAGCAAGTGACAACCTGACCAAATTTCGTCTAAAATCGGTCACGTGCGATTTCTCGGAATGCCGCGCCGGTGCGCGTCTCCCTACTTGTCTTCAGCCACCATACTTCGACGCCTAAAACAGATGCCTGCAGCCAGCGCCTGCTACTGCTGTACTAAACACCAAATTGAATCCAGCTGGCTGAAAGTCAGCAGTGCTATTCAAACTTATCTTCTTTTTATTCTGGGTATTTTTCTCCTACATGTTCAACGACTCTCACCATTTTTCCATCAGTGGTGGTACATTTTCGAACATCCAGGTGGATACTACTGTTGATAAGTCTGCTAAAAGTGAGCCAAATGGTGATATGGCTCGAAAATTGGCTTTGCTAACAGTGACGAATCCCGAAGACTTACGTATACTTCAGCAAGCGACAGCGCCTGGAGCGAGTCACGACTCTGCTGAGCGATATCCGCCACCTAAATGCCATCCAAAGACTCGGGAAGCTATTCTCAACACAATTCTGTCATGGACTGAGAACTATCGCCGGCCATCTAGCGTGTTGTGGCTTTATGGACCCGCAGGTGCTGGTAAATCGGCAATAGCCCAAACCGCTGCAGAAATCTGCCGGGATAAGAAGTGGCTGGCAGCCAGCTTCTTCTTCTCGCGCTCTTCCAAGGATCGTAACACTGAGCATCATCTCGTGGCAACTCTTGCATACCAGTTAGCTATCGCGATTCCAGAAGCTAAGGACGTTATCCTGAAAGTTGTGGAAGAAGACCCTTCCATATTTTTCAAATCTGTAGAAGTGCAGGCAAAAGAATTACTCTTAAGCCCCATTTCCAAAGCATATCACGGGGCTGATCCAAAGAAATGGCCCAAACTCGTCATTATTGATGGTCTAGACGAGTGTACAGGCCACGAGATGCAGTGTCGCATTTTGCGTATCATCTACGAAGTTCTGAGCAAGGACTTCCCCTTTTGTGTTCTGGTTTGCAGCCGACCAGAGCCTGTTATCCGGGACGAATTTCTGGCGAGCGAGCTTGGTGAAATCACTCAGAAATTAGCCCTTGACGACTCGTATCAAGCACGAGCAGACATATTCGTGTTCTTGAGCTCTGGATTTGACAAAATCCACGATAAACACCAACGTCTTGGAACGATGACGCATGTTTCCAAACCTTGGCCTCCTATTCACACCATAGATGCATTGGTTTTCAAATCTTCTGGTCACTTCATCTATGCAGCCACAGTACTCAAATTTGTCGACAACCCCCGTCAGCACCCCATCCGTAGACTCGATATCATTATGGGAATCAGCAGTCCTAGCAAGAATTCGGAATCTCCGTTTTCCGATATTGATCTGCTTTACAAACAGGTGCTCATGTCAGTCAATGATCGAGAAACACTAATGTGCATTATATCTGCTATGCTCTGCCTCAAAACAGCCGAAATTTCGTTCATCGAGAAACTATTAGGCTTATTCCCGGGCGAAATACATGCGTTGTGTGCCGATGTACATTCTATCATCTTCGTTCCAGACCCAACAGATACCTCGATTAAAAACCCTACACTAACTTTTCACCACGCCTCGTTTTCTGAATTTTTGGTGGATGAACGCCGCTCTGGCGAGTTCTTTATCAATTTGGAAGAGAAACACCGCGAGTTGGCAAGCAGTTTTCTGGATATTTTGAAGTTTGGTTTAAGTCATCATATTGTTTCCGGTTTCAATGGTGAGTACGAAGCTATATTATTTTCTAATGAATCTCACCACTGCGAATGAATAGTAACCACTGATCCTCTGGCTTGGTATGCATGGAGCCACTGGCAGCATCATTTTATCCAGTCCCCAAAGACTGTAGAAACGGCCGGTATTCTAGCGCCAGATACTGTTGTTAGCTGGGTAAGAAGTGTCTGCGCCGCGGATGCGAAATCTTTGAATACATGGTCATCTTTCCGTATTGAATCCGCAGTGAAACATCTCGATCACTTTCAAACACTCATCGTCTGGCTGAAGACAACTGTGAGTCATTCCTGTATGAATTTTGGATCTTTCTCTGATATAAAGAGAATAGACAACTCCACCTGACGTCATGCAGTCCATACAACGTTATTTTCAGCATACCATATGCCAGCAATTCCATAGCGCCATCTCCACCATTCCGGAACCCAGCAGAAAGAACTTACTGTGGGCACTGGCAGTTATCAGTTGCGAGTCGAATGACCGCACTGGGTACAATGAGCAAGGTAATCTATTTTCTGCTCTGGGGAAACCCTACAGACGTGCGTATGACAAGAATATATTCAAGCTACAATTATTCCGTAACTTTATGTCGAATTCGAAACTCGCTGGAGAATACCACATCAGCAGCACTATTCATAACAATGTTGCACTTTCGCTTTCTAACTACTTTATTACCCAGCTCTCTGATGAGAACTCGGGCTACTTCGAAGCTATACAATAGTGCGTGTTACGATATTCGAACCAATTTAAATCTGACCTGATAACGAGAAGTGGGATGACGCTGGGGTACGGAACCCTCAGTCTTACTGCGTCTGAGAAAATAAACAAGCAGAAAGAATGTATATGTCACATATTTTTGGAAGAGCTTGCTAGAGCTTCGATCACAGAAGACCTCGTGGAGTCCGTGAAGTTACTTTTGGGTTATTGGAAGAACACACTTGATTCGCATGGACGTTTGAGCGGAATAGAACAAATTTCTCTGTGGTTGAAGGCAAGTCTTTTTTCTTTTACCACAGCATCAACAGACTCTGCGCTAATGAACGATTCCTTAGAGCGCGGATAATACCACCAAGTAGTCAGGGGCTATAAGAGTGAGAACTTATCATAGCAGCGATGTTCAACGGGAGCGGAAAGAAGTTCTGAAGAAGAAATGCTGGAAGATTGCAATCTATTAGGCTTTGATGCGGAACCAAACCACTCGATCGGCATAACCTTCTGAATATGCGCTACAGCTAGTATGAGAGTACGGATGACACCACCAGGTGATCAAGGTCTGCAAGGATAAGAGCTGAGATACTCTGAGCAAACACGGACGAGAGCGGGACAGTTTAAATAAGTAAAACGGCTTGTTAGTAAATCGATAAAATATGTCAATGACAAAAGATATGCCCTTGCTGCGGAATCAAACGGCGGGACCAGCATAGCTCGCTTCAGCGCCGCGTTACGATCATATGAGTGCGAGCAATGCCGCCAGGTAATGGAGGCCTGCGAGAGTATTGGAAGAGGCTATAATGAGAGTTGTGAACGTAAATTCGAATAGCTGCATTTCAGACTGGGAACATGAAAAACAATGAACAAAAGCATTGAACTAACGATCCGATGTTTGATTTCATCTCAAAAAAGCAAAAGCACCCCATCAGCCTACTCCCTGGCTGGGAGTCGAACCCAGCTTTCGCGCGCACCTGATATCGGTCCAATTACTTTACATGACAGGCGCGTGTACTAACCGATATACTACCAGGGATTGTGATTCAACCGCCTGGCGCTAAACACACCGGAGAAAAAGATGCGTATTCAGAAAGGTCCCATTCACGAGAAACCTCGGACGTTTGCCAAGCATATTATTAGGAGACCAGGACTGGAAACCCGCTTTCTCGAATGCAGCACGGTAGTAGGAAGGAATGCAGAGCAGGTGATCAAGATCTGATGCTAGAGGGGTGGTCCATTCCAGAATAACAGATCCTTATACCATAGCGAGATAAACCCGGTGTATAGCGGCGCAGATAGGAGTTTTTTTGTTTTTGTTTTCAGTAAGCTTAGTAGAGCCCAATGAGCATACAGAACGGGGGTGAGATGAGAGCTTGAGAAGACCGGCAGGTTCGGGAGCAGGGCACGAGCCGGGAGCGCACAGACCATGTGACTTGTTGGGTGGCGTGGGAAATGTTGGAAATGTTGATGACTTGTCAGGTCACAGGGTTTGTGATCACGACAGTCGTGACCTTCACGTCCCCCCCACTCGCTCGCCCAGATCCCCTCCTCCTCCCGCCCCCCCTAGGCGCAGAGCTCACGGCCCCTGCCGCTACATATCCCCTCACACATCCAGCAGCGCTTTTTGCAATTACCAGCACTGCCTGAGACACTCCACGATTTTTTCTGATTTATTTTCGACCCTTCGACCAGCCCCCACGCCCACCAAACCGCTCTACGCCCAACCACCGTATATTCTGCTCATCGTCCAAGGGCAATATAGAACGTAATCACCGTATCATTTGACGTAACGTCACAGAAACCCAACGACCTCGCCCATACTATCCCTTAGCGCCCACACACAATGGCTCCAGCAACCCCAGCCGCCCAAGATGCTGCCCTTGCCCAGCAGGCACCCCAGCAACCATCGCAAGCACCAACCGCCCTCCCGCCCAATCTCAATGGCGTCGACCTCTCGCATGTCCATCTCGCCAACCTCGATCAAAACCAGATCATGCAGCTTCTTCGAAACCTTCCCGTCTTTAGCAAACCCGTGAGTGTTTGAGATTTCTGTTGGTTGTTCTTGTGGTGGTGTGGGTGTTCATCGCTTAGACGGTCGGGGGGAGTGAAAGTCGTCCCGGCGTATGCATGCAAAGCGCATGAAGTGCGTTAATTAACTACACGTGACCGTCACCGTTCGCGACCTCAGGCACGAGCGCGTTTCATGACAGTCACGGGAGAGGGGACAGGGCGTCGGTCATCCGCCGCTATTCAACCGACTTTATATTCCGTGTTCGACTTGGTACTGACTACTGTTTCCAGCAACTTGAATCCAAGGAGGATGCAGCCCAGACGCTCTCCAATCTCTCCCAGCAGTCTGCGTTCCAACTCCCCGTGCATTATGGCGCTACACCCGCTGGAGGCGCCAGTGGGCTGCCAGGGATCAACGACCCCGGCCCATCGTCGCACCCTCGTGGCCCTCCCAATCTTGGCCAGCTAAGTGCGGTTGCGATGCAAGCTGCTCCCGCATCGAGATCCGAGGGCCAGCAGCAGGATCAACAACAACAGCAGCAGCAACAACAACAACAAGACCAAGAAGCCAATAATGAGATGAAAGAAGCGTCGCCGTCTGCTTCGACCGGTGCCCCTACGAGCAGCGGTGGTCGGGCACGAGGTGGACGCAGCGCGGCTATGGGTAGCGACGAATGGAGTCGGCAGCGCAAAGATAATCATGTATGTCACCTTTCCCCTCCTTTCCACCTACTTAAATACTAACCCCTCGCACAGAAAGAAGTCGAACGCCGGCGCCGCGGGAACATTAACGAAGGGATCAATGAACTTGGGCGAATCGTGCCCAACGGGTCGGGTGAAAAAGCCAAAGGCGCCATCCTAAGCCGCGCTGTGCAGTACATCCATCACCTCAAAGAGAACGAGGCGCGAAATATCGAGAAGTGGACACTGGAGAAGCTTTTGATGGACCAGGCGATGGGGGATCTGCAGGCGCAGCTGGAGGAGGTGAAGAGGATGTGGGAGGAGGAGAGGATGGCGAGGCAAAGGTTGGATAATGAGTTGGAGGCCATTAGGGGGGTGCAGGGCCAGGGCCAGGGGAAGGAGGAGAGTAATAAGAGACGGAGCGAGGAGGGGGATAAGGAGGAGGAGAGGGATGGGAAGAGGCAGAGGACGGAGTAGGTGCTGTATGCTGCGCTATTTCTGTCTTTCTTTTTGGACTCCTTTTTGACGATGTTGTTTGATGATGATGATGATGAACCACTGCTGTGTATCCTACCCATGTATCCCTCTCCGTCTCCTCCGTTCTCGCTTCTGCCCTCTCTTCTCTGCTGCCTGCCCTCTCCGCCTACCTGCCCCTCTACTTCTCTGCTTTACGTACGCTTCTCCAGCCCTTCAGTTGCCGCTGATGTATCTTGTTTTACTATCTTTCCTCTCAGCGTATCTGTACTAGTTTCGTCTTGTCTCCTTTTACTTATTATCTTGGTCTGCTCAGTAGCTGTACGTCGGTGAAATTGAATGTGTTTCTCCGCATTGTTGTTCTGAGAGTTGTGTGTTGAAAACTTCGAGATGTTATTATACATGAAGTTTGTTCAGGAAGTGAACGCTAGATCGATGATTGGATTGGTATTGACAATTAGAAAACACAAACAACCATTGTATTTCTATACCCAAAATCACGAACGCTTGTCTGCCCAAAATCTAATTATCGCTGCTTGAACTCCCTCTTCCTCCAGAACACCCCAGCACCTTCAACAAACCCAGAAATACTGTCCGGGATCCCTATTTCCAAAATGAGTTGCCTTGGGGGGTGATCATCGCCCCAGTTGTGACGTCAGAGCTGCTATTCGGCGATCTTGATTCATGTCTGGCGATTGGATTTACGAAGATCCTGTCGTCTATGGTTACAAATCCAACCATCGCGGACTGTGGAATTGTCGAAGCTGTTGTACCTGGGAGCATAACATACACAAAGGTTCCATAGCATCGCGCTGGTTTCAGGTTGGGTTATTTTGATTGTTTCTCGCCTGCTGCAAGTTCAAGTTGTTATTGATTATTAAACCCTCCTCGATGATGGTAAATGTAGAGGAACTACAGGCCGACTGTAGGACTGGAGAGCCTGGTTGATACCCGCGAAGGTTCAGAGCCGCCGGTGAGTTCGGCCTTCTAAGATTTGTTGATGAGTCGGGAATCGACAGCTGGCTTGCACCACGAAGAGATCCTATGGAGATCGTCGTTCTTCGACTGTCCACGATGACGGAGAGAATGAATACTGCGAGCTCCACGACTTGCCAGCTCGCCTACCAGCCGTGGAGTCCTCTTGCGGTGCATGGTGGAGCCACTGAACACTCTCAACGATAGGATACGCTCTATACCACTTATCTTCCCCATGTCATCCTGGACATCCTGCATTCCCCTACTGGAATTCTAGAATTTACAGAGGTGCGCCTTGTCGCCATCGAGTGACTTTGGAAAACCGTCGAATTCAGGTCTTAAATAGACCGTAAGTACCCATTTCACATAGTATCATTCAAGACTGAACCTCACCAGTCCTTGCAGCATGACCCTCGAAAATTCGAGAACGTTCGGGGGTCTACAGCCCTCGTTAAATAGTTTAATTGACGTTTGCTGTGTTGCTACACGATGTGAAGCAACAAATGTCCTCGCTGAAGTTCGGGAGACCATGCATCTAGAATTCAGATGCACTATCATATAGGGCCTGGACGGTGAGGTACAGGTATTGGTGCCTTGAATGGCCTGCTTGAAGCTCTAGGTCCAGAGGAGCTAAGACGACTTATAAAGCTATAAATAAAGCTATAATTCGTCGACCAGCGAATGAAGGCCTTGTGAGTGGGCACACGCAAGATTGAGCTGCCAGTCGCCACAGTTCGTAGACGCCGTTGACGAGACGTAGGTGAACAAGAAGATCGATACGCTTCAAGGATTAAGGCTTCCCGGTTGGCAGCTATATTGTTGAAAGTCATCCTGGAGCTGAGCAGAGCGAGTGTTAAGCTCAAAGATACCCCGCAGTACGTGCTGACGCTGGCCTAGTGGTGAGTGCGGCTCGACTGATTGCGCTCGGACTAATACTCACCCCCAGTGATCTTCTAACTGCACCATCTCCCAATTAGTTGCCTACGTTCACGACAGGAAGGTAGCCGGGTCAATACTACTCCACAAGAACAAGGAAGCCCGTCGACGGGTTTGAGACTGCAAGACGATTCCAGCTCAAAGCTCGTGTTGTCGTAAGCCTATTTTTGTTGGCTATTTTTTTTGCTGCGCGCTAATGGTTTTCGGGCTGGTCGATACCTTCAGCAGCATCTGCTCGCGTACGGGTAGACAATCCATTGTATGCAGCAATACGCCTAGAGGTAGGATGTAGAGATGAAAGACCAAGTTGCTTGCGGTTCCGCATCCAGTAAGGCGCTCTGCATTCTGATGGGGCCGAAGTTTGAACGGGCAGTTATCAGTCATCTTTGCTAATAGCTGCCGATATCTCAAGTCGAACTATTGGTACTTCAGATTATCGTTCACAGGGAATTCTACATTTCCAATGATTCAGCATCAAGCCCCATAGTCTCTGGAACTCGCAATATTGGCGAGCTTTCCAATTCTGCCTCCAGATTGTCGCTTGCCCAAAAAGTCCACAGCTCCCGCAAGAATACGATCAGGTATAGAACCTATAGAACGTATGTCATCCATTGTCTAGGCCTGCGGACCCGTGATTATTGAACTAATAATTCTAGACTGGTCCGTCGCTCCACGTAACTTAGCAGCTGTTTACCTTCCTGGGGTAGTCTAAAAAATGTGGCAAGATTGGTCGCCGCCAATGTCACAAGCACAGCGACGTGCACCACCGTCCTGGAAAGCACCCTTTTCGAAGCTTAACCTGCCTTACTTTTTTCCAAGGACCAATGATGAGCTTGTTTCATAACAATGTCGCCGCTTCCCCTGCACTTTCCTTCCCGAGAATCACATCGGTGGGCTTAGGTAGGCGTGTGCGGCCAGCCGCTCCTCGCAAACACCGGTTACTCCTCCGTAAACATCGCC